GGACCAGCGCGGACGCGGGGGCGGCGGGAGCGCGGACGGCTCAGCTGCCCCGGAGTCGCCGAGACCCCGGCTTGCGCGCATCCAAGTGAGGGCTGCGCCCCGCTAGCCCCAGCTCCCGTAGCCTCCCCGCCTGCGCCCCACGGCACGCGCCGTACAGCCATGAACACCAACGACGCCAAGGAGTACCTGGCCCGGAGGGACATTCCTCAGCTTTTCGAGGTAAGAGGCTAGGTGGCCGAAGGGTCCCCAGCGGCCACCCCGGGGCTCCGAGGGCCAGCGCCTGGCCGCACCTTCCGGTGCGGGGTACCTAGTGAAGGTGCTCGCAGAAGCTAGCGATCCCCTCGCCCCAGACAAGTCGCCTTTTCCGCAGGTTGCTAGGGTCCCTTTCAAATGTGGGCTTCGAAACCCGCATCTTGGGATCAAGTTTCCCTCTTGAAGCCGGGTTCTGGATGCAGGCTGCCCCCAGCGCATCCCTCAGAGATGGGCACCCACAGTGGACAGGGGACCGTGGCCTGGCAGCACTCTCTGGGGCTGAGGGTCAAGCCAGGTGAGAGTACAGTCGCCCACACGGAGCCAGGACAGGAAACTGAAGGGTCCAGAGCCCTAAACGCTCGGGCGCCAAGAGTTGGGACTCTGTAGGGAAGGGGAAGCATGGACGAGGCGACTCTCCCGGGAGACAGCTTGAGGAGGAGAGGGATGAAGGATGAAGATGGAGAAGGGGAAACAAACACACACACACACACACACACACACACACACACACACACACACACACACACACACACACACACACACAAAAATAAGCGCAGCACCACCTCCTGGGTTGGTGAAGGTCTATGCCGCCAGTCAATGAACTCCTGAGCGCGTTTGTGGGTTCCATGGAAGGTCGCTCCTCCTGGCTTCAGCCTTCAGCCCCAGCCCACCTACACAGACTGGGTGGGACTGGGAGCGGCCAGACAGGCGCGACTCCTGTTGCTGGCCTCTGCTGGCGCGCAGCAGCAGCACCCGCACTAGGGGCCAGGGGATGCGGTAGCACTAAAGAATGTGAGAAAGAGGCTTGAGGTATGAGCTCTACAGGAACCTTGCTCAAGCCACAGCGGCCTTCCCAGAGAGAAGTCCTGCTTCCTTTTCTTTTCTCCACATTCGATTTTAAAACACCTCTAAAAACGAAGTGCTGTTGGCTTAGATTATAAAACAAAATAAAATTTAAAGAAGAATGGCACCAAGCCAGGCTTCATAGGCTGAGCCCTCAAAAACCTGGCCTCCCATTTCAAAGGAAATGATAGACTAATATAATAAACTAAAGGCCATGCATTGTTCTTTTCCCTGTTTGTTCTGTTCAAAGAAAAGTGTATCTCTCAAGAAAATAATGTCTGCAATAATCCCCTCCCCCTAAAAAAAAAACTGTCTTTAACATGGGCTGCCATAATTACAGTGCTTCGAGAGTTTTTGCTTTGTTTTGTAAATATGGAAATGAAGAGCGGAAATTTTTAATCATAAATGTTAAGACTGAACCCAATTTTATTTCTACACTTCTGAAAGAATGATAGATGGTGCATCCGTAGAAGAGCCTTCTGATTGCAAAATGTGGGAACTGTTTCTCTTCTGTGGTACCAGGTAACTTACAGAACCCTGGATGGCCTGTTCACAAACTCTACACCATGTATGCTAACAAGCTATGGCAAGGAGTTGTTTAGCCTTCAAATCTCTTCATTGGCTTTTCTGCATATGAATGGGATGTCTCAAAATAGTGCGCACACCCGAAAGGAAGTCAGCTGCTTACCTGAGAGGCACTCAAGCAGTGTAGGAGATTGAGTTCTGGACAGCAAAGAGCTGGAAGGGGAGAGAAGGTCCATGACCTCGTGACTCCATATGAACAATGAGAAGAATCTGCTGTGCACAGTCCAGAGGGGAGCAAGACCTGACTGTCCATGTGACAAGCACAGACCACAAACATCAAAAACCTCAGGTTTCTAAAATGGACTTTCCATGCCAGATCCACACTGTTCTAAGTATATAAAGTTTAAGCAGGTGGCTGCCAAAACCCCAAAGAGTCACAGATAGCACATGCCACTAAAGGTCAGGTAACAGATGAATGAATCTGTGTAGCACCACAAAAAAAAAAAGAAAAAAAAAACCCTACATATATAAGTATATAAGGAGACTTCTTAGATTTCTTTGAGTGGCATAGGATATCTGCTAGATTCATAGTTGAAAAGTACTTCCACTTTAAAATTAAATTAAAAAACAAAACAAACGCTTTCAGCTGGTTTTGCTGTGTTCCTAATTCTACCGAGCTTTGTAATGTCAGTATTGATCTTAACCTTAGAGCAAAGGCTTGGCAATTAGTCTGAATGCTATCAAAAGTCCAATTAGATTCTTCACATTTTCAGAGGGTTAACGCAGAAACTAAGAAATAGCATCTACCAGTTGTCATCACCCTGGGGCAGCTGGCTACTAGAAAAAAGGACTTAATTATCTTAAATTATCAATGAAAGAGTGGATGGAGCCCAGTGCCCTTCAGGAGTTGGTTTTGTTTAAGAAAGCTGGAAATGCTTGTCTCCCAGTCAGAAACACTCCCGCTGCATATACCCACACAACTTAAGCTTTGGGAAAGTAAACATTAAGAGACTGGGGTCTTAAATGTTAATATTTTGGTTGGATTATAAATGAGCTACAACGAATCTGGTGTTTTCTTTTACCCCATTCCATGTTTTTCTAAGATGTACAAGGAAGATTATCTGAGTTTACCAAGAGAAACTGTCTTGGAGTCCCGAAGCTGAGCAAGTCACTAATACCCCTGAATATGATTTCCTGACCCCAAAAAACAGAGGTGGTGCTCCCCACATAAGTGAGCATGTGCACAAGTGTCTGTGTGAGACACAAGGACTTTGTGTGTTGATGTGGCTGGTTCTGGCCCAGAGAATAGCAGGAGTGTGGGAAGCTAACCTGCCTCACAGAAACTGGATGACACTTTTTCTGCCCCCTCAGCAGCTGAACTCATCGGATGGAGCTGCAACCCAAACCCACTCCATTTAGGATTTCAGAAAACAAATGTACCTAGCAGGAACTGCCTGACATTTTGGGAAAATGGAACAATACTAATTTAAAAATTAAAAACTATGTTGGGGCTTGTCAACTTTCCCAAAGGGTGTGTGCTTTGTATGTTAGTAATGTATAGGTGAGAATAATTTACGCTTTTTCCATGAAACATTCTAAAGGAAAATATTTTGGGGCATCAGACCAGTTCCCAGGAGTCAGCATTTCCAAAGATGTGGAATTTTTGGAAAATAGTGTGTATTAATTTCCACTACTTACACACTTTGGGGCCCCTGCAAACACCGTGACTTACAAGGAAACAGCCCAAATGAGGTAAGAAGGAAACTCAGGTTCAGCCCGACTTGGTCAGTGCTGGTTCGGTCTTCTGGAGTGTGATGCCGAGTGGCTTCTTTTTCCTCATGGCAACTGTCACAACAAAGCTTTGGGCATGGCTGCATTCAAACTCCTTTGCAAAGTGCATCTCTTGGAGAAGGCCTGTGGCCTTGGCCACACAAATGGGTTCTGTTGACTGAGACAGTGCTCTGGAGAATGGCCTAGGAAGGACAGGTTTGTAAGAAGCATAAGGATGGAGTCTACTGACAGAGAAACAATGCTCAGGATCCTGGGGGGTTCTGGTGAAGGCTGGCTCCATAAACTAACAACAGATCACCAGGTTATCAAATGACACCCACCCCAGCCTTCTGGGTGAACAGGTTTCAGTTCTTCCATTGGAAAAAAAAAATCCTGAGTGTTTAACCGTTCTGGTTCCTCTAGTGCCATCTGTGAGCATGTGGACTGCTTGCCCTCTGCCAGGCATGAACAGTTAAAACCAAATAAGACCATACTTTCCCCTCCATAATCTTAATAGATACTGTAGAGCTTTATTGCATATCAATTAGCATTTTGGAAATGTCTGACACTAAAGTTTTAGATTTGTTTTTGTTATTTTTAAGTGTGTGTGTCTGTGTGTGCATCTGTGTCTGTGTGTGTGTCTCTGTCTGTGTATTTGTGTGTGTGTGCGTGCGCGCGCGTGCGTCTATGTGTGTCTGTGTGTGCCTGTCTTTGTGTGTGTTTATATGTGTGTCTTGTATCTGTCTGTGTGTGTCTGTGTCTATGTCTCTGTGTCTCTGTGTGTGTGTTTATGTGTGTGTCTGTGTGTGTTTGGGTGTGTGTCTGTGTGTATCTGTGTATCTGTCTGTCTGCGTGTGTCTGTGTCTCTGTCTATGTCTGTGTGTGTGTGTTTGGGTCTGTGCACATGAGTGTGGAGGCGAAAGGTGTCAGATCACCAGGAACTGGAATAAGCAGCTATAAGCTGCCTGATGTGTGTGCTGAGAACCAAACTTGAGTACCTAGTAAGAGCAACAGAGACATCTTAACCACAGAGTAATCTTTACAGCCCCTGACTTCAATTTTAAGTCTCACTTAGACTTGAGTTTGGAATTATCTTTCAGTTCTAATCACAAAGCTGCAGCATGTATATACTCAGTACTAGGGAAAGTATCAGGTGCTTGGAACTAAGAAGTGGATGGGGCCCACTCTGTCTTGATGAAATCTTCTATTTTGGGAGAGTGACACATAAACCAATGCTCCAATATAAATGACAACAAGTGAGATGTTTCTGGTGTGGCCACATTGCGAGACCCCCTAACAAGACCACCACAGAGCCGATATCCAATGCAAAACACAGGGGGTTATTGATAACAAGCAAAGCCTGGGCTTGGTCCATGTCCAACACTCGACACAGTGGGTGGAGGAGGACGGCCCTGAGCTCTCAGGGTGAGGGGTTTTTAAAGGGAAAAACCCAAACAGGGTGGTACAAGCTTTGGGCCTTGGCATCATATGATTGGGTGAGGGTATGTAACCTTTGAATTTACTGGTTGGGGGTTACAGTTATCATTTTGGGGCAGGTCTGGACAAGTCCCAGGCTTTGTCCTTGAGCTGCCGTGGAGGCTGGCTTTGCACATTCACATTGACAATGCACGTAGCTCTAAGTTGGTGAGCGGTCCCAGACAGTAAACAACTGGCTGAACCTTGAACAGTCAGAGTACATGCAGAAAGGGAGCTAGTGCAAGGACTATGTCTTGTTCATGGCCCTCCCAGAAACTGCTTGCTTGAGTCTTAGGAAACTGAAACTGAGGCCTGGTCTCTGAGAGCAGACTGAGCAGCCTCTTATGTGTCTGCTTGGTCCTTTCATTTCATCATGAGTCCCATTGGAACATGAAAGAAAGGGTCCACAGGCCAGCCCAGGCTTTCAGAAAAGGCATTGTGATAATTATCATGATAACAACTAAAGCCCATGTTTGTTGAACATGTGCTACATGTGACGCTCTTAATAAACACATTTAAAAAATTACATAAAATAAAATCCACTTCACAGTAGACCTAAGGCTTGGAAATATTGGTAAAGATAGGATAAGATGTTAGGGACTTAAATAAATAATGGCAGGGATATTTCCCATGATACACTTGCTGTGATGGGAGTCTTCTGTATTTAATTGCACAGTTGCCTTGCGATTTGAAAGGCAGAGAATGCTGAGCTGAAAACTCACTGATGCTGGGTGTGGTGGTTGAGCCTTCAATCCCAGCACTCAGGAGGCAGAGGCAGGTGGATCTCTCTATAAGTTCAAGACCAGCCTAGTCTATATAGTGAGTTCCAGATTAGCCAAAGCTACATAGTGAGGCCCTGTTTCAAAAAACCAAAACCAAACAAAACACAACTAACTGGTCAGAAATTTAAAGGATTATCTTAAATCCTCAACCAAATCTCAGTTTCAATTCAAGTTGTTTACTAAAAGAAATGAAAGAATAGAAAGAGCAATTCTGGGGTTATTGCTATACCTGGTTGTTTAAAATTATACTATACAACAACAAAAACAGCATAATAAAGGCGTAGAACCAGACATGGAGACCAATGCATAGAACAGAGCGCCTAGAAATAAACTCGCAAAGCTTCAGACACTGGTGTTTGACAAATGTGGCAAAAGTTAACATTGGCCTCTTCAACAAATGGTCCTGGAAAACTAGGTATCCACGTGCAGAAGGAAGCTAGATATGCATCTCTTACCTTGTTAAAAAAGTTCAAAATGGATCAAAGTCCTCACGTAATGAAGACATGGAACTTTGAAACAACTAGATAAAAATAGGGGAGCTACATCATGATCTAGGCATAGGCAAGGGCTTTCTGGAGAAACAATCAGCAGTTCCAGAAATATGAGCAAGAACTGACAGACGGGATTACATGAAATTAAGACGCTCTGTAAAGCAAAGGAAACAGTGGAGTGAAGACACAGCAGACAGAACGGAGAAAGAAATTGACGAGCTATACACCTCATAAGGGATTAACGTGTAGGCTAAATGAATCGTAAAATTAAGCATCAACAAAGCCAATCGTCTAATCAATAAATGGACAACAGAATTGAATAGACAGTTCACAAAAGATATCTAAACAGCAAAAGAAAGTAAAGAGAAAAGTGGTCAACACCCTTCGTCATGAGGGAAATGCAATCTTAACCACACTGATATTCCACTCCCCCACCCCCACCCCCTCATCAGAAAGGCAGTGGTAAAGAAATTGAGCAAGTGCTGGAGAAGACGCAGGGGATAAACCTCATATGCTTCTTGTGGGGATGTAAATTACTGTAGACACTATAGAAATCAGTATGGAGCTGGCTCAAAGTGGACTTGAAGACATAGCTCAGTTGGTAGGGTGCCTGCCTCAAATGCAGAATACCTTAGGTTCAAGCCCAGACACTACATAAGCCAGATCCTATGTGTGGAATCCTATCACAAAGGAGGCAGAGTTGGGAGAATCAGTTGTTCAAGATTATCCTCACAGGGCGCCGGGGAAATTCTCAGGAATCTGCAAGGATGACCCCACCTTGGGCTACTGGCAATTGTCAAGAGGGTTGAGAGACCTGAATTGGTCTACTTTGGTGACTGGAATGTCATCATAGAGCCTTCATCCAGTGACTGATGGAAGCAGATGCAGAGATCCACTGCCAGGCACCAAGCTGAGCTCTGGGAATCCAATCAATGAGAGAGATGAGGGATTCTGTGGGCAGGGGACATGGAGATCATGATGGGAAAATGTGCAGAGATGACCAGCCACACTAGTGGAAACCCATGAACTGTGGACTAATAGCTGTGGAACCCCCATAGGACTGGACTAAGCCCTCTGGATACGGGAGACAGTTGTTTAGCTTGAACTGTTTGCAGGGCCCCCAGGCAGGGTAATCAGGATCTTTCCCTGGTGCATGGGTGGGCTTTTTGGAGACCAGTGCCTAGGGTGTGACACCTTGCACAGCCCTCGTACAAAGGGGAGGGGCTTGGACCTGCCTCAACTGAGTGTGCCAGGCTCTGCTGACTCCCCATGGGAGACCTTGACTTGGGAAATGTGGGGATGGGGGGTGGGTTGGAGGGAAAGCTGGGGAGTGGGAAGAAGGAATGGGGGGGAATCTGTATTTGATATGTAAAGTGAGTAGAAATTTAAAAAAAAAAAGATTACCCTCAACTATATAGCAAGTTCAAAGCCAGCTTAGGTTATGTGGGACTCTGTCTCAAAAGCAACAATGTTAAGAATGTAACTACCATATAACCCCAAACTACTCTTGGATACTCAAAGAAATGTAAGCATACCAAACAAATGCCAACACATCCATGTTTAATGTGGCACTGTTCACCATATACAAGAAATAGATTCAGCTTAGAAGATAAACAGAATCACCTTGGAAAGGAAAGGGATTGTTTTAAACTTATATTTCCAGGTAACAATCCATCATGAGGGAAGCCAGGTCAATAGCTCAGGCAGAAATTGAAGCAAAAGCCATGGATGAATGCTGCTTCCTGGCCCACTCTCTGGCTTCTACTCGGCTAGCTTTCTCTTACATCCCAGGCCCACCTGCCTAGGGGTGGTTCTGCCCACAGTGGGCTGTGCCCTCCCACATCAATCAGTTAGAATAGTCTCTCACTAACATGGCCTCGGGCCAATCTGATCTAGGCAATCCTCCAATCGAGACTCACTCAGATGACTCTGGACTGTGTCAAACTGACAGCTAAAGATAACTAGGACAGACGTTAATCAGCAGATGGATGGATAAAAAAAACATGGTATGAATACACAATGGAGTTTTAACCATTTATACAGAAGAACAAAATTAACTTTCAGGGAAACAGGAGATATGATTGGAACTGGAGGTCATGTTAAGTGAACTAAGCCAGACCAAAAAGACAAATACCATAGGCCTTTGCTAATGTAAAAGTCTAGATTTAAACAAACAAACTAAGAAATGAAGTGAAAACAGAAGGAACTGTTGGTGGGGAGGAGGAGACTAGAGGGAGGAGAGGGAAGGGGGGCTGACCAACATTGCACATTTTGTCTTGTGGCTACAATCTAGACAACTACACACACAAATGGCCTGAAAGTGGGGCAAGAGGGGGCCAGGGACAGGGGGAGCCAAGAGAGGCGAGGGGGTGCAAACATGGCCAAAGTGCAATGAGGCACATACAGGTACGAAAACATTGTGAAATCCATTGTTTTGTATAATGAAAAAAAAAAACAAACAAAAAACCAAAGCAAAACAACAACAAAAACAAATGAAAAGGCTGAAGACAGACAACCCAGAATTTAGAGATAAGACATAACAACATTTTAACAAAGCTGATGCTTACTGGTGGTTTTGTCAACTTGATACAAGCTAGGTCCCCTAGGAAGATCGATCCTTCAGCTGAGAAAACCCCTCTGTCACCTTGGCCTGTAAGCAAGCCTGTGAGGCATTTTCATCATTAGTAATTGATGTGGGAGAGCTCAGCTCACTGTGGGTGATGCCACCCCTGAGCAGGTGATCCCAGATTATATAAGAAATCGAGATGAGCAAGTCATGAGGGGCAAGCTGGCTTCTTCCATGGATTCTGCTCCAGTCCCTGCCTTCAGGTTCCTGCTTGAGTTCCGGCCCTGACTTGACTCAGTGATGGGCTGTAATGTGGGACTGTAAGCCAAATGGCCCCTTTCTTTCCCACACTTACAGTCATGATGTTTATCACAGCAACAGAAAGCTACCTAGGACGTGGTGTCAGAGAGTTGATTTGTACTTTATGTATGTATGTGTTTTTTTCAGAGCCTTTTGAATGGCTTGATGTGCTCCAAGCCTGAACACCCCATAGAGTACCTGGAAAGTTGTTTACAGAAAGTCAAGGAGCTAGGAGGCTGCGACAAGGTGAAGTGGGACACATTCGTCAGCCAGGAGAAGAAGACATTACCCCCGCTGAATGGAGGACAGTCTCGGAGATCCTTCCTCAGAAATGGTAATGTGTGTGTGGAATGGTAGGCGTCTCATGGGAGAGCAGGTCTCTTCAAAACACACCATGCAGACTGGAGAGAGCACTTTTAATGATTGGATTTATAAGTGTTTTGGAAGAACTTATCTTTTTCTGCTACTAATTGTAATCATCTGTGATAAGGGAGAAAACAACACACAGTCTGGCAATTTTCTGTAAATTTAATGAAAGTTTATATTACCAAATTCATTATTTTGCAGCATAAATTACATTTAAGAACCATGGCTTTATTTTTTGAAATTGCTAATAAGCTTTCTCCAAATACACAAGTAGAACGCAGATCAAATTGGTAGTTAGTATATAATAACTCAACATTTTTTTATTAGTTAGAAAGAGCTGTTGCTCACTAATATTGCTTCCAAGCGCAGTGCCCATATTAGTGTGTTTATACAAGTGCATAGATGGCTTATAATGTTCATTCAGTAAAGATTCACTGAGTGACTATTGAACAAATTACATAGTCATTTGGGTGAAAGACACAGAAACAAATTTGCTGACGGTGTCAGGAGCAGCTGAGAAATGAAAGCTGTAGTTTGTTGGATCAAATTTATAGTTATCCAATCTCATTCTGAAGTGTATGTTTGTCAGACATGGGTCAATCAGCCTGCTCAGCTGAAGGAAGTTGTGAGTGTAATAGTATGCAAATGCAAAATTAGTTCCAATCAGGGGAAGCTAAACTAATTCTTTTCCAGTGACCAAGACAATTATATTTTCAATTTTAAGCTATGTTCAAAAATTGTTCTACAGTGTGATTAGAAAAAAATGGCTCGGCAGTTAAGACTGGTTCCTCCTCTTCCAGAGATCCTTGCTTCAGTTCCCAGTACTTAGGACCAGCAGCTCACAAGTGCCTATATTTCTGGCTCCAAGGGATCTACTGCCCTCTTCTGGCCTCTTCAGGCCTCTGCACTCACATGTGCATACCCCACACAGACACATACATAAATAAATAACAAAATAAATTAAAAATACTGTTTCACAGAAGTTTCAGGCATATCCAGAGGATGAAACCAATTTCATTCTCAATAAATATAAAAAGGAAACAATGCTTAAGTCTGTGTGGTCTTATCAGTCATGACCCAGTTAGATTTTGTTTGAATGTGGTATGGGAAAAAGTCATGATGTGCTAATTTTTAAGAAGTTCAGTAAGAGGAAAGTAGAAATATCACCCTCAAAGATATCTCCAGAGTGAGCAGCATCCTTCCTTTTCCACAAGGAGCCACTGCACTGCTAATTATATTTTTATTAATCATTAGACAGACCTTTCTATGGACTGTGGTCAAGAAAATATTACTCCTTGCCGTCCTATACCTGGAATACATGCTAGGAAGATAAAAATATTTTCTAAGTTCATCTATCTCATAATTACAAATTTTTGCCTTATGAAGTAATTATCCTTTGTATTCTTTGTTTTTGTTTTAAATGCTGGGGAGCAGACTCAGGAGGACCTCATGCCAGGAAGAAAAGCATTTCACCTACTGAGTTGTAGCTCCACCTCCTCCTAGGTGTAAACCATAATTGGTAGACTAGGTTGTTAAATTCAACAAAATTGTTAACTGCCCACTAAAGTTAAATATTTCTA